GGAAGAGAGAAGAAAGAGAGAAAACTTACAGGATTAGGCAAAAACCTGATTAACAAGAAGAGGAGAGCAAAACTGACTCTGACAGGCTGGAAGTCAGTGGAGAAAGGGCAAGTAAGATCACAGGCGAGGCATATTTTGGAAGAAGATACTGGGTTCAGGAGCTTGGGGAAAGATGTCTGTAAGTGGAAGCCTGAAGTCTGTAAGATGACATCCAGACCAGAAGACATTTAGCAAAGCAGAGGGATTGGGAAAAGGCACACTTCTTGGAACAAGGTGACTGAGCAAGGCTTAGAACTGGAGAGACTGAGACTGAGAATCCCTGGACGAAGAGGCAGGGATCAGGAGACCTGAGGAGAGCAAAACAGTAATGGCAAGGATGCTCCAGCTTATGCCTTGAGGAGCTGGTTAGTGGCGGATGTCTGTAGGGAAGAGAGAGAGGTTCCAACCGTGCAAAAGGCACATGTGGGTCTGATTACAGAGCTGCACGCAGGAATTTGGGATGTGGTGTGTTGTTTTCCTTTTCTTTTAATCTGGGGCATTACGCAAAAATAAACTGTCAAAAAACATCATTGAAGTTGCAATTTCTGCTAGCTCAAGAGTCTCTGTAAGGCAAATCTGTGTAACATCAGTCTCAGAGGCACAGTTTATATGAGCTTTATAGAGCGTCCCCGTACCAATAGACTGCTAAGGCTTTCCCAAGGTAGCAGTTTATATTACTTATTGCTGCTAAAAGGGTACCTGGAACCAAAGAAAATCATGGCTATCACTTTTGCATGAACATGTATATGTATATAAATGCATACATACATATATACCTGTACATATGTATGTGTTTGCATATATGCAGAAAGGGCAAATATATGATGGTATAGTTAATATATTTTTTGTTCATTTACATCATACATGATGGCATAAAGGGATTGGCACTCATTCAGATTAAGGTGCTGTCTATTCTGTTAAAGAGCATCTGTGCTTTGTCTGTGGCTGCAGCAGATGCCTGTGGAGGAAAAATCAACTATATGGTCATACTACACGGTCTCCCTCCCTCCCAGTTTTCAGGTTTTAGTGATCTATGGCTCAGAGATTTCCTGTGCTGGAGGTGATATCTTAGTGTTTGATAGCCCTTGATGGATTTTTCTTCCCACCCTCAGTATCCTGTAACAATGAATTTCATACTGTGTGTGAGAAAGGATCTCCCTTTACTTGTCTGTACTTGCTGCTTGAAGTTTACTAGTTCTTGTCATATGAGGCACACTGAAAAATTGTTCCCTGTTCACTGTCTGCCTGCCAATAAACCCCAATAAATTCTGCCACAAAATCTTTTTTTGAGTATATGCCACATAGATACCAAAATACAACTGCAGGAGTATTCGAAATAGTTTGCAAACTTTTTATAACACTGATTCATTTTATGTCACCTATGTCTTTTTTAGTATGACCCCATATAGAAAAATTTGAAAGGAAACATATGGCCTCTTCCTCCTTTCCTTCACATAACTTAGAATAATTCATTAAAATAATTCATTAATATTTGGAATGCGACAGCTTAGAAGTCTAAGAAACCTTCTTGGTCTACATACAAGAAACCCATGAATGTTTCTTTACAAATGGGATAAGCCATGCCTACAAAGGAAAAAGCTGGCAGATTTTAAGTCGTCACCATTTTGTATAAAGAAGAAATACTCACATTGCTATAGGGACAAATCTACTAATTTCTAGGCTTTGCTTACATGAATTTGGGGGCACAGATTTCATAATGGAAAGAAAACAGTAAGTATTCCTAATGCCAGTTTGATCACATTAATTTATTCATTAATGCATTCATTTTGATGGTCAGACTGTCTTCTTGAAAGTGTATTTGATTTTCTTCGTCATGTTTTTACTTAAATGGACAGGATTTGAAGGTAGTGGTCTCATCAACGTTTGTAGAACTGGAGGAATTTATAGATACAGGGAATCTTTGAGATAAAATCATCATAAAATAAGGAAAACTACTATGATTATATCCCTGGAAGCTCCTACAAGCAGTACATATATATGGCTTTTCCTTAAGCTTTAGCACAGGCAATGCTGCCAGGACTTTTTACAAAATTCTTGTCACTAACTTACTTTTCTCACAGCACCTTCCTTTAACATGCTGGCCAAATACTTTCCTTCCTTTGCTTTGAGGCAATTGACTATTCTCTAGGGAAGGGCTAACCAAAGCCATTGCATGCAATTTGAGTCTCACCCCTAGGACCTTGCTTTTATTAAAAATCTCTGCAGTGATGTTAAGAAGTAACAGTAGTGGTAAAAAATCACTGCAGTAACTCTTGAGTAAACTGTTGTGTTTTCCTCTGTTTGTCAGCTACAGTCTATGGCAATTTTACTGTAAAATAGAATAAAGGCAAGCGGTCCTATGAAGATGTTTGGTCACTGGTCTCTCTCTTCATTTTCCAGTCAATAAACAAGGGGAAAAAAAACTTCCTTGGAGCAGTTCCTCTCCAGGAACTTGGTTCAGAGGATGTTCTAGGAAAGGCTCAGCAGGCAGCAACCCGAGACGCACCGCGGTAGGGCGAAGGTACTCAACACACTGAGCAGCTAAGCCTGAAAACAATATATGAAGCTTCTTGTATTGCTCCTCAAGCAGGTGTGTTGACAAACTCTACATACACCTCCATGCAATCCAACCCACTCTTACAAGTTTTAAAAGTTATTGCTGCTGGAAATGCTTAATCTTTAGACTGACCACAACAGAAACATGAAAAATACTTGAGAATTAAATCCAACACAAAAAAAAAATCAAATTAAATTTTCCTTTATGTGGTCTACCAATATTGGTATTGTCAGCAGTTGTGTGTTACTGGAAGTGAATGCAACACGATTAACAGCAACTCGAGAAATATTTCTATACTGCTTGAAAACTTGAAAAATGTATTTTGAGAAATGACTCCTTCATGTCTCTTTCTAGTTGTAGCTGGAGTTTCCAACCAAGTACTTGTCAGGTATTCTTGGTGATGGCAATTTCAGGGTAGAATTCTCTATGGAAATTTCCTCTAGCTTAATTCCAATTTGCCTAGTCTCATGCACATAAAGCTAAAATAAGCTACCTTTGTGCACACACCACTTTTGTCTATTGGTTTGTAGACAAATTAAAATCACACATGATTTTTCCTCTGGTCACAACTACCAGAGAAAAATGTTTTACTGTAAAGTACAGCAATGTTCTTAATGTTCTAATGTTCTTAATGTTCTTTCTGCATTAATAGCAGTGGCAGACAGAATCGAGGTATCTTCCCACAGCAAAAAGGTACATACTTCCCCTGGGGTGAGCTTTGCTGCATCGTAGGAAAACCACCTTTCTTTTAGGTTGCTAATTCTTGTTGAAGCCTGGGGTGCCATTACAAGAGTAATTTATAATCTTTTGGGGAGATGTCTTAGGCAGGATGTCAATAGACATTCAGGTGGATTTTATTCTCTGTCATCATGAGCTTTTCTTGGTAGAAAAGCCTGTTTCCTAGACATATAAGGACCTTCTGACTAAGCGGTGTAGAGCACCACCTAATCCTGCTTCCCGTCCCTGGTGTACACGAGTCCATTTTCAGTGAGATGGGGAAAAAGGGGAGGCAGCTCAGAAGCTGGCCTGTTGCAAGGCTGAATGTGTGGCCTTATTGATTTTGCTTGTCTGGACTGGACTGTCTCCTTGGGAACTTTATTTAAAAAGGCTTTGCAATTTGGTTCATCTTGAACAATGCAGAGTTAGTATCTGATAGGGTTACAGCTGCCTAGAATGTGCTGATATAAAGACCCCTTAATTTTGTTTGTCTGAACGAAACAGACCGCTGTATTTGTGTAACTCTGGTTTTGGAGTTAAAAGGGGTCCAAGTGCAAGGAGGACTGAGCACAGTGATGGAGGAAGTCTTAACAGGACAGGCATAGGAACCACCAAGCTTTGGGACAAAGCTTAATTTTCAGTGTTTAAGTTAACAGAGAAAGTGAATCACAGGAAGGAGTAAGTTTGGAGGACAGTCAGCATACATATTTTTTAGTCATAGGAGGATGAGAAAACCACCTAATTCTGTCATGTTATTTACCTCTGTTTTAAGCAGAAGCTATCCACAATGCTCATTTGTTTGTGTATGTTCACCTCGCCTGTGAGTTCCTGGGCAGGGTTAATTGGAAATAATTAGGCCACCTATTGTTCTGACTTCCCATAAAATGTAATTAGGTTTTCTTTTTCTCTTGTATGTCAGAGGCCTTTTATGGACTGAGATCTTTGATGAGAGAAGAAATCCGTGATTGCTAAAACATACTTTGGAATTTCCTAGTATGTTCATGTTAGCAGTGCAATTTTACCTCTTTTACTAACAAAGGACCTTTAGGCTGGGTTTGAGCAAGTTACGCAGCACAGTAGTATATTTACTATGTAGCCATCATTATTTCAGAGGCAGTGCATGCCAGGGAGGACGATAGATCTTCCTATGCACTGGTATGCTTTGAATTTTAAATACGAGCTCTGATGCCTCTGCATTTGTGGTGCAGGTTTGACTGATTCAGACAAACACCCTCTCTGAAGCTTCATTTCCCACTTACTTTCCCCAAGATGGGGGTGGTCTTTGGGTATTACACAATAAGTACATTTTTGCATTTTAAACTGCCTCTGAAATACAAACACTATACTCTCTCCACTGGCTTTTTTATTTTGGAGTTACATGATGAAACTTTTATCTGTGGTGCACGGACATGGGTAGTTATCAAGCACAGAGAAGTTTTACCGGGGGAAGTCTTGTAGTGTTAGATGTTAATAAATGAGATTAAATTCCATCATCATTCATATCTCTTAGCCCAACAGACTAGAAATCTGCAGAAAAGCCTTTACTTTAACTACAAGTTGAGAGTCACTGGGTGTGTACCCAGACTTGGACTCAGT